AGAGAGAGAGAGAGAGAGGTGAAAACTTCTCAAAAAGGTAGAGAGAGAGGTAAAAACTTCTCAAAAATGTAGAGAGAAGCTGGAATAATATATTTTATTGTACTATTCACTGGAGAAAAGAATCCAACACCCCATAATAAGAATCCATGTGTCAGATTCAGTTTGTCTACGTTTATGAAGAATCCAGTTTCTGGGACTCTTGAACTCGGAGAATCCTTATTCGTGTCCATGTCCATATGTCTCCCCCACTGGTATGGGACCCTTGTCATAGAATCCATGTCACATAAGTTCACACTGACCATGTTCTACCTGCCACATCAATTGAGTTTACATGCTTTATCTTTAAGGACAATGTGGTTTCAGAGAAGATGTAGCTGTTGCTTCACTTTATTGATGTAAGAGAACTGATCATAACTATCTACAGAATTTATGCTAGTGAATGTCATCATTTACAGTAGAAGTCATGATTTAATCATACTTAATGCTATTTTTTAACCTTCAGTTGGCTTTTGCAAATTTCCTTTTCTATTTGCCAAGAAATGATGCAGTTACCTTCTAAGTTTTCAGGGAAATCGCTTCCATAAAGGGCTGCTCAATCATTGGCAGAAGTTCATGTTTAATCCCAGGTACTGCATGTTATTACTATTAATGATTGCATCTATCTACTATTGGAATGGTTTAGCTGCATTGAATTTTAAATTTTCTAAAGTTTGATACTATTTAATGCAGTCTTCTAGGTAGATCTGGTACTTCAAATTTATAATCAGAAAAAGTTAGTCTTATAGTTTCCTTGAAAGGGTATTAAATGTCACACTTAAACCTTTCAAGTTGCATAAAATACTTGGAAGGAAGTGGAATGAAATCTGGGTAATAAGTGCCACTCCTTTAGATGGTATATTAATTTACAAAGAACGTTATTACTCCTATTGGGCATGCGTGAATTATGTAAATGCCACCTACTTTAGATGCGTATATTAATTTACTAAGAACGTTATTACTCCTATTGGGCATGCGCGAATTATTACAGAATTGCTGGGTGAGGCCCAAACATTTGGAATATGCTCTTCACAGCACTAGTCAAGGAAATTGCTTGGATTGTGGAATACTTGGTAATGGGCCCTGTCATAATATATATATATAGTGACGAGGCACACGAGGGAGTAGG